GGGGGGGGGGGGGGGGGGTCTGCCCCGCTCCCCTCAGCCAGGGGTAGGGGAGGGCGAGGGGTTGGACGCTGGGGCCGTGGATTCTGAGGACGTTCCTGAGGGAAAACAAATTAATGCAGTGGGTATTTGTGAAAAAAAGCGTCGTTTTTTCCGCACAAATAAAGCCGCCGCAGCTTCTCGGGCTGTGCTTCCCCGGCCCCGCCGCTTGTGCCGCCGAAGATGGTCAAAAGAATGTCTTTTAAATCGCCCTTCTCTGAAGGAGCCTTGGGCTCACCTCGTGTGAGTCTGTAGGGTGAGGAAAAAAAAAAGCCACCTCAGAAAGCTCAAAAGGAGTTGACTCCTTGCTTTCATCTGGGCTCTTATTTGTTGCAAGGTCAAAAGTAACTCTGTGTGTGTGTGTGTGTGCGCTTTTTAAGAGAGAAATTACCACAAAATGCCCACAGCGCTGTCACCAGCAGCCCCCCCACCTCTGTGCATGGGGGAAGGGACTGCACCTGGTGGAGAACCTGCTTCCTATTTGGTGTTTCTTTATTGTTGGGTATGCTGGGCTACAGCCAGCTCTGGGGCCACCACCAGCAGAAGGACATGGAGCTGTTGGATGGGGCCAAAGGAGGCCCCGGAGATGCTGGGAGGGCTGGAGCCCCTCTGCTGGGAGGGGGGGCTGAGAGAGGTGGGGGGTTCAGCCTGGAGAAGAGAAGGCTCCGGGGAGACCTTGGAGCCCCTTCCAGTCCCTCAAGGGGCTCCAGGAGAGATGGGGAGGGACTCTGTATCAGGGCGGGGAGCCCTAGGAGGAGGGGGAAGGGCTTGACCCTGAAAGAGGGGAGATGGAGCTGAGCTGTGGGGAAGAACTTGTTTGGTGTGAGGGTGGTGAGAGCCTGGCCCAGGTTGGCCCGAGAAGCTGTGGCTGCCCCATCCCTGGAGGGGTTCAAGGCCAGGTTGGAGGGGGTTTGGAGCAACCTGGTGTGGTGGGAGGTGTCCCCGCCCAGGGCAGGGGGTGGGAACTGGATGGTCTTTAAAGTCCCTTCCAGCCCAAACCATTCTGTGGTTCCATGCCTGAGGACAGTGGGCAGAACAGTTGGGTCTGCCCCAGGTTCTGCCAGACACAGTGTGCCAGTTAGGAAGTATGGTATTGCTGGAATCTCTGGTCTTGCCTCCTTCACCCAATCCACTTCTGGACCTTCTCGACCAAAGCTGCACCTGCTTTGGCAAGGGGGGGGTGGACTCCAGAGGTCCCTTCCAACCCCATATGATTCTGTGATTCTGCAGCTTCTTACCTTCTGACAACTATGTTGCTTTCTGGACCACTCTGTGAGCTGACAGGTTTCTGTTATGTTATCGAGTAACTACTCAAAGGAAGGAAAGGGAAAAAAAAAAACCATAATTACTGTGAAGTTCCTGTCTTTAACTTGTCTCATGACAAAGATGTGACAGGCATCAGGGATGGTTGAAGGAGGGGTTGGGACTATGTAGCCAGGAGTGAAGGTGGGCTGGAAGCAAGGTGTGCTCTCTCTTCAGCAGCAAGCTCTTTTGCTGGCACATGGGAGTGGGGTGAAGTCAGTGGCTGGTGAGGTACTGAGCACTGAACTGGAGTTTCTCAGAACTGGGCTCGCTGCCTTTTCCATGCTTTGTCCGTGAGGTGATGCTGACTTGCACTACCAGAGCTCAGGAAATAACCTAAGTATCAATGTCTGAATCCATGGCTAAAAGCCAGAAAGTTTTGAGTTCTGCCTGACAGTATCCCTGAGAAAAAGATGGCTTTCTGCTGTATCCTATTCCTTGAGGAAAAAAGAAACTAATTCTTCCTATGTTCCCTGTCCCCCCTGTACTCTGGCTGATATTTCAACACTTCGCTGTAGATTCTTGTTCAACTCTTTATTTGCTTTTCAGTTTCATTCTTTAAATTAGTTTCCTGTCTAAATATGCCTAAACCAAATTTTACTGTGGTACCTGTTCTCCAATGTTCTGATAGTGATTTTTCAGACCTAACGGTTATATCCTTTTTTATTTTTTCCCCTCACCTGTTTTTCTTGGTGCTTTTTTCTGAGGTGCTTTTGACTTGCCTCCGAGAGGTGTGTCAGGTAACACATGGAACACGGCTAGTATTTTTCTAGTTCTTTCAAGGCAGCAGTGCAGTAACTTTAGATAAACGATAACCTTATATGAATAATCTCCAAGCCCTGTGTAGGCTTTGGTTTTGTTTGCAGGAATGGGGAGCTCCTCAGCCATCCCTGCAATGTGACAGCTGCTCAGCCAGCGGGAGGTGTCTGAGGCCAGAAGAAAAGGTGGTGCCACATCCAGAGAAAATAGCTAGAGAAACTTAGATTTGGGATTTGATGAGGATGCTGGCACTCATTTTCTGCTTTTATGAAGGGTCCGTTGTTTCTTTAATGATCACATGATGCCATGACAAGCCTGGAATGAAAGCTGAATCATAAAGATTGATTCTTGCAGGACTTCAGACACTCTGGTTTTGTCTGTGGGTTGGTTTTTTTTTTTCCTTTCCCTCTCAAATACAACTCTTATTCAAGAACTGTTGAGGTGTCCTCTTCTGGACAGAATGTTAATTTAGGCCCCAGAAAATACAGGTGATTAAAATTACTGGACGTTTATGCATTGTTGTAACATAGGCATACAGCTTAGGAGGATGGCAGTAAGTTGGGGAGAGAATGTCACGTTTCCCGTGTGCTGCTTTAAGAACCAAAACTGGTAACAACTGTGGTCTTCAAGGTCACACCTTCCAATGTGAATTAGCATCTCACTGTAGTCAGGTGTGTCTCGTGGTCTTCATTGCCACCACTCTGCTCATCTCCTTATAGACAGAATTCCAGGGAAATAACCAAAGTTTATGCAGTTCAGCACACTTTAAAGTTGGAGTTTTGAGCTAAGCAATAGACGAACTACTTTGTACAGATCACAACTTTATATCGATTTTGGGGTGCTTATTTCTAGTGGGTGACCTACAAGAAGTAACACCTATGTCCCATGGATAGTTTCAGGCTCTCTGTTGTAGAGCATCCTAAAAAAAATCCCTTGACTTTCTGGTCATTTTGAGGGCCATCTCTCTTTCACAACTCCCGGTGTGGGGAGGAAAGGTTATTAGTTGTGCTTTGGAAGTAGGGAGGCTTAAACTTACTTTCCTTTTCCTCCATCTACATAGTGGAAAAATCCTTTGTCTGAAGGCATCAGACAGAGACGTGGTGTGAGTGATTTCCTTCTGTTTGGATGGTGTGGCAGGGGGAGGTGAGGGGATGAGTTGCTCAACTAAACCTTTAAGCAGCTGAGAACTGCAGAGCATACACACGGGTACTTCAGAGAGGTGCCTGGGATACTTTTAAGTATCTCTGTGGATTTAAACATGGGGCATTTTTTGTGCTATGTTGTTCTTTGCTGATAATGGCGAACTTCAAAATTGTTCCTCTGGGCTTATAACATCTCGGTTAATGTCTCAGCCTTTGGACACATATCCTGGATGTGAGCAAGCTCCGTGTTGTCTCTGCGTGTCAATTGTCACGTGAATTTCTGAGCAAATTTATTCCAGTCTTAATATCACAATGCTCTTGAGTTCATTATGAAAAATCTGCACGATTAAATTGCTAACAACCATGTTTCTGTTATCTTTTTGTGGTTTTGTTTTTTCCTTCCTCCTCTGGGTGGTGGAGGAAGGGGAACAAACAGCAGAATAGCAACAGAAAGTGAGAGGAGTCGTTTGTGCAGCCATTTCCCTGTGTGCAGTGATCTGCATCTGAAGTTCAGAAGAAGAGGGGTAACTTTTATGTTTCCAGAGATGACAGTACCTAATCACACCAAATACATTCTTTTGGGAGGAGGCCATACTGTTCCTTTTCAGATACCTCATGTAGAAGCCCTGGTGCTTTGAATGGTCAATGTGGAAAAGATGTCTTATACTGTCTTCTGTTGACTTTATAATCAGAAGCTTAGGTGTAAGCACCTAAATTAGATGGATGAATAATTCCTTTCTCTTGAGGATTTTTTTTTCCTCTGATGCCCACCTTGTAAGAAGCAGAGAGATTCATTGCCCTTGTGACTTAATTGTTGTACTACTTCATGTCTTCTAAATAGTAATCATGGATCAGTACCATAAATCAACCACTGGCTTGTATTAGAGCTGAGTATAAATAAGGTGAAGGACTTTTCTGTCCCCCCCTGCATTCCACCTGTGCAGAGCATGGCACCTCTGAACAGTATGGAGATGAATAAAGGCCACAAAACCATATCATATTCACTGCAGCAGTAAGTATTAAATGTTTCTTTTCCCCTGGTTTGCCTATAGGGTAGTTCTGGTTTTGTATTTATAAAAGATTGTGTTGATGTTGTGATGATCTGCTTCTTCCAGCTGTTTCCTTTCCTGCCCATCGGTCTGATAAATGTGCATGAATCATCTGACCTCTTTCTAAAATGCCAAATTTATTTTCTAGAGGAACCGTGTTACCTTATTACACTTATTTATTTAAAAATCTCATTTATTTTCTTGTGTGGAA